TGGAGGGTGGGATGAAGAGCGGCGAGGGCCGAGGCCGGTTGGTGGAGAGGAGGGCCACTTGGTGTGCCAGGGAGGAGATGTGAGCCGAGGAGCTGGGGTCACCTTTTTGCCTACAAACAGGGCACAGGCGATGCTGCTCAACGGAAGGTGTGGGGGGTTCGGCGGAATTGGCATCATTAATCACAGACAGGTAGAATTTAGCGGCTTCGGTGCCGGACAGAGACTCCGCTGCCACCTGCTGGTTCGAACGGACTTCCTCAGCTGAATTATTTCGGGTGCGGGTAGCTCGCTCTGAAACGAAGTGACGCTTTAGCAGAGTACTTGCCTAAAGAAAGAAAAAAAAGGAGAAAGAGGCTTTTCAATATCAGGATCTTGCAACCTACATCGAGGAAGAAAAAGCTGACGGCAAATACACGAGGTGGCTGGCAGCGAATCTCCTATAGGTGTATTGGCAGATTTGAATGATTAAAGTGACAACCCAATTGCGAAAAGCTCGTTGGCCTTGCTGGATCGGGCAAGCTATCCGACGAGCGTCGCGACAGTCGGATTTGCTCGACAGTTTGACTGGTGCTTAGACGGCGCACAAGTAGGCAGAGGGTAGTAAGACGGCCTTCAACTGAGGTTAGCTAGAAAACTGCATTAGTCCTACGGTCTGACGAACAAGCAGCTATCGGCCAGGGCGTGATGGGCTGAGATCTGGCACGTCAGTCGTCTAAGAAAATGCCCCAAAATCTGATAACGACGCTGTGGCATGGCGACCGTGAGCCGGCTATGTTTGAGACAAAGAGGTTGGGGAAACAAACCTAGAAAAACGATTCGATTTGCCATCGAGGGTCTGTCTGTATCAAAAATTTTCAGAAAGCTCCCGAAAGATGTCCGAGTCAGGTCTGACGGAACCAGCGTGCTACGAAACCTTCGTACACCGGTAAAATTAAATAGCATTCGGATCGAACCACCTAATCGGTAAAGGATTTCAGTTACTGGATACTGCAGTATAAGAAAGTTCCTCGACGTCGATATAAAAATCTAGTATCACACAGTAGTTATCAGTACAAAGTAACTATCTCTCGCCTGTCTGAAGTTTGAAGCCTCAATCCGGACTTTCGGGAAATCAAGACCCCGGTGATCAGATCCGACTTTATTTTCATGTACAGCGGCTCAAACGACTGCCCCGGTAGACACGGGGTGATCATTCCTCTCGCAACAGGCGACTAGCATGATAAAGAAACATTTAACTCGCATTCGCGAAAGTTGATTTAAAGTAACTTTCAGAGGTCTGGTCGGACTGGATAAGATGAAAACGCCTATGACTCACACGCATGTCTTAAAGTTTACCTCTCATTTGCGATCGAATTGCCATGTGTGGGAGGCCTTATTGTTGCAATATTATGACAACCCAGCGCTTTGCAGTCTGAATCGAAGGGTGGGGCATTTATAAACAACCAATATTCAGGTTCTCAGTCCACGGAACAGTTGGGATAATTCTCGGATTGACTCAGCCGCGCGGCAATGACCGGATCAGCTCAAACCCGGACAACTCCGGATGCGGTAAGAATGATTTTTTCCCACCAGCTCCAGAAGATGACGGCAAAGCCGGCCAGAGGTGGCCTCAAAACTATTGTACAGAAATGGTAACCTCCATGGGGCAGCTGCCGAACGTCATCAACACTCGAAAAGTGTACTAAACTAGTTAAAAAGTTGAAGATAGGTACTCGGCACTGACAAGTGCAGCGCGTTACAAGACGGACCCGAAAGAGGACGGTATAATTGCCAATGCGCAAGTTTCATGTCGACACTGGTGCCCTGGAGCCAGAAGCCGGTTAAACAAGCGGGAGATTAAGCTAGCTCATGATGGCTGAGGTTCGGGTATCCTTGTGCCCGCCACATAAGCTCTATTTGCGCCACTGCAAAGGTCTTCGCCACTTTGATTCTCGAGCATTTTCAGTGTGCGCAACCCGAGGACGAGACATATGAAAGTCGGGTTTTGAGCTGGATATGGATGTACGGATCAAATATTCAGACTGCAGCGTTTTTCGCCGCCGCCACCACTATTAGCAAACGATGGCCCCCTTTATTGGCTTTGATGCTGCGTCCAATTTCGTCCATCTGGACGGAATGTCGCGAAGTATCGCTCCACCAATGTTAGACTTCAGGTACACAACAACCATCTACAGCCGTTGATATCCTGCCTGGAGATATACAAGGTTGTACTCCGTCACTCATCCCATTTAACTACGCCATGGACGGGATTCTCCGGAAGGGTCCCACACGGCTTTAACGATATCGCCCTTGAACCCGGTCGCTCGCTGACTGACCTCGAATATACAGGCAAAATCTTCGTCGGGACCCAACCCAATGGAACGAAAACGCATCTGGAGCAGCAAACCCTTTCGGAGACGTGCCTGGAACCGCCGCG